AAAAAAAAACTAGACTCCCAAGTCTCGGATGCCCATAACTCTGGTTAGGGTGCCAGCCACATAACCTGGGGCTTTTGGGTTCAAACCTGGCCCGGGCCGACTAAAACAACTCCCAACAAAATAGCTGGGTGTTGTGGCGGGTCCCTGTAGTCCTAGCTACTTGAGAGGCTGAGGCAAGAGAATCAGTTAAGCCCAAGATTTTGAGGTTGCTCTCAGCTGTGACACCACAACACTACCAAGGGCAGCATAATGAGACTCTTAAAGACTTACTAAGCCACTTCAAAAGGATATTATTATCCTTAAATAATCAATAATCAGATTAATGATTTGGTAACTGGTTTCTTCCACAAGTGTAAGCAAGCCTTCATGGCTTCAGTGGTTCGTGACACAGCATCTACCTTTATGCCAGTGGCTACTCTCCTTTATATGATTGTGTAAGCATCACTTTCATCTTAACTTTTTAATTTGATTTGGTGAGTGTTTTCCCTTATGACCACACCTCCAAAGTGAAAGTCCACTATAAGTCCAGGTGAGCCTGCACTGAAGAAAAAGGTGACTACAAAGGATATGGAAGTAGAAATAAGCACTTAGCATTTTGGAGAAAGGTTATGTGCTGTGGTTACTATTAGAACAATTATATACAGGCCATTACTGACAAAGTTTTGGAGCAAGATGTAACTTGCACAGGTGAATTAGGACACTGTCCACTGTGTTTCTTGGATGTGAAATAATGGCCCATAATACAGGCTGTCTGAAAACTTTGATAGTGACGCATATAAAGGATGACGTGAGAATGAGGAACATGTCAAAGGTAGTGTTAGTATCAAAGCACCAATTATTACTAAGAAGGCATGGTGGATTAGTTGCTAAAATAGAAAGGTTATGGATTTGGTTAGATCAAAATAAGCCTAGTATTGATGGAACATTAGGTGAGTGTTAACTTTTTTTTTTTTGAAATGTCTAAATTTTTGATATATTTTTATGTTCAAATTAAAAAATAGTTTCTATAACAATACAGGGGGATTACTGTTAACAGTATTACATTGTATTATTATTACAACATATGATCCATTATAATATTGTCAGTATTAGCATATATAAAATGTTCATCAGGGATCCTGGTTATACACAAAGCAGACCTAAAGACTACTCAGGGCTGGGTGTGGTGGGTCACCCTTGTAATCCCAACACTGGGAGCCCAAGGTTAGAAGATTGCTTGAGCCTAGGAGTTTGAAGCTGCAGTGAGCTCGATGACACATCTGCACTCTAGCCTAGGGGACAGAGCTAGACCAACCAAGTCTGAAAAAAACATTCTCAGGAACGTATCTTTATCTGTAACCTGGAGGCCAACTATACTTTATCATTTTAAGTGATTAATTACCATTGGCATGATGAATAGATTGATTATATATAGGGTTTGGTGTTTCTGTTTTTGTTTTGAGACAAGAGTCTCAAGCCCTTGTTCTAGGTAGAGTATCATGGAGTCATAGCTCACAGCAACCTCCAACTCTTGCGGTCAAGCAATCCTCTTGCTTAAACTAAAAATAGTTTTTCTATTTTTAGTAGAGACAGGCTCTTGCTTTTGCTCAGGCTGGTTTCCCGAGCTCAGGTAATCCACCAGCCTCAGGCCTCTCAGAGTGCTAGGATTACAGGTGTGAGCCACCGCGCCCGGCCAAGAGTTTGCCTTTTATTCATTGGTGCCTCACCTACCATTAGCTGATAGCTGAGTTAAAGGTGTGTTTTAAAACTTGCTCCCAGAAGAGCTTAAATATAGAGCACTGCTTCTTGAGTATTCTTACCGAACTTCCCAGAGATTGAGATGCAGAGTCTTAAAAGAGCTGTGTTAAACCGCAGAAGTGTCTGAGTATCCTGGTAATTACAAGACAGGATAAGGATAATAGAAGTAATCACTTACATAGCCTTGTACTTTTCTTTGGAGACAGCCTCAAGCTGTTTCCCTGGGTAGAGTGCCAGGGTGTCACAGTTCACAGCAACCTCCAACTCCTGGGCTTAAGTGATTCTCTTGCCTCAGCCTCCCAAGTAGCTGGGACTACAGGTGCCTGCCACAATGTCCAGCTGTTTTTTGGTTGTAGTTGTTTGTCATTGTTGTTTGGCAGGCCCAGGCTGGACTTGAATTCACCAGCTCTAGTGTATGTGGCTGGCACCTTAGCTGCTTGAGCTGTAGGTGCCAAGCCTAGCCTTGTACTTCTACAGAAAGTAGATTGTTAACCTGCCAGGGGTGCCAGGATATGGTGAACAAGCCACAATCCTCTTGAGAAACATGCTTTTACACATAGAGATACAGTTCATGTCAACATTTCCTCCCATCCCCATTCTGTAGGTGATGCAGTTTTTCTTTCTAATGCATGTTAAATTCAGGCACTGTTCAAAAGTCCATTTTGGGAACCTAAGAAATATGCAGTATATGCTGGCAGGCTTTTGCTCAAAAAGGCAAGACTTAAACAAGATTTCTTTTTTCTTTGAGACAGTCTCATTAAGTCCTTGGTAGACTGCCCTGGTGTCACAGCTGAGAGCAACCTCAAACTTTGGGCTTAAAAGATTCTCTTGCCTTGGCCTCCCAAGTAGCTGGGACTTAAGGCACCTGCCACATGCCCAGTTATTTTTTGGTTGTAGTTATTGTTTACCAGGCCTGGGCTGGGTTCGCACCTGCCAGACCCTGTGTATGTGGCTGGTGCTCTAACCCCTGAACTACAGGTGCCGAGCCTTAAAACAAGATTTTGCCTGCAGTAAAAGTTTTATTGCAATGACATTTTTATTTATGAAATTATAGGGAAAACAAGACCATTATTTCACTGTTAACAAGAAAAACTTAAAATAACCAATCAAAAGACCGACTTGGATGCAGGCTATGAATGCCAATTTTTTGGACACGATAAAAATGTCCCCTTAAACTGAAGTATTGCTTTCCTGGTCTAAATGCTGGTTTTCAGTAAAGTATAACTGCTTTATTCTTGAGTTCAAGATAGCCTACTGCTCAGAAGAAACTAGAAATAAGCAGTAAGTACCCACTCTCATGGTAAAGCAAGTTTCTGACCACCAAGGAAGCATTTTATTTTGAGACAGAGTCTCACTATGTCTGTTGCCCTAAGTAAAGTGCTGAGGCATTATAGCTCACAGCAAGCTCCAACAACTGCTCAAATGATCCTCTTACCTCAGCCTCCCAAGTAGTTTGGGCAACAGGTCCTGGCCACAACACCCAGCTATTTTTAGAGACGGAGTCTTTCTCTAGCTTATCCTGGTCTCTAACTCCTGAGTTCAGGCAATCCACCCATCTCCAGACTTTCAGAGTGCTAGGGATTACAGGCCATCCACTCATCCCAGCACTAAAAAGGAAGCACTTTAATTTTCTATTAAGCCTAAATAAAATCCAAGCATTAGTGGGGCTCTCAGTGCTTTCACCCCTTGTGTTTGGAAAAGACAATTAGGTGGAGCAATGTTTTTTAACAGCTTTTCTTAAGTGGTATTTGTCACTAGCACTTTTGCCTGTTATACATTCTACCTGTATTGTTCGCTTTAAGTTTTACTTAAATCTATTGACTTGATGTTAAGTTTAGTTTAAAAAGGAATATGAACACGGAAACTAGCAGTGGGTCTGGCCCAACCCTATGACCGGCTCCTTAGACCGTGGCTTTATTCTACTCTCAGTGCTCCACTCCATGGGCAAAGAGGTGCAACTCCACCTTTTAATTCCTCCGTCTTCCAGCTGTGGCTATAAAGTCTGCAAATGGAATAAGCTAAAGTAGAACCCAAGCCTGCTAGTTCTATTTTTCCTCTGACCTTTGGGAGCTGAAGTCCCTACACCTGGAATCTTCCAGGGATTCCTTCATGATTCTGGGCCTTCTGGGAATTAGTGAGAGTGCACTCGCATGCCCCCAAACCTTGGAAACTGGGTGCCACGTTATGTTTTTGAGGATGTTGCATTCATTCACCTGTTGTCTGGCCCTCACCTGCCTCCACAAGGGACAAAGAACCTCATCCACAGACTGCGGAAGGTTGGCAGTGTCTGCAACTAGAGCCATTGGGCGCAGAAGCCTAGAATTTTCCAGCTTCTGCAAAGCCGCGCCAATGTCAGACCCTGCTTACCATACAGTACGCACCGTCTGTAGCTCTTTTGAGCGCTGCAGATTCTGCGCAGGGAAGGGTCGCCTACGTAGCTACTCTAGACTGCCAGCTAAATTTCTGAATTGGGAGCCTGGAATTCTGAACCGCACACTAGGAAACGAAATTCAAGTCAATTGGCCTCTTGTACTTTTACTAAATGTATTAAAGGGGGAACGCTTTCCCCTACATTTATGTTAGTAGAAATTTATACAGATGAATAATAAGATAGACTTAAGATTTTATAACCATTGTTAACAGTAAACAAAATTCCTATGCAAACAGGTCTGTCTTTGGTGCTGTTTCCAAAGACTGATATTTTTACAAGATCCTCCAAATCTTACGATGTCGGGCCCTACTGAAGGTAGACGTTAAAACAGAGTCCCTTTACTCTTTGGGTGTTGCCAGTGAAATCACAACCACCCACCAGCTCCACCTACACGTGGCTCCTTAGAAAGCGTGGGAAAGAAGAAAAATGAAAAGGGAAACTGCCAGGACTTAAGATGTCTGCCTAAAGCCCCTCGAAATCCCAGGAAGGGCCTACCCACTTCTAAAATGTCCGGCCACAGTCCTGACGTCGTTCCATCGGCTCCATCTAGCCAAATAACGAGTGCGCTCCAATCAGAACTTAGCCCCCGCCCTTGAATTGCGTCACTTCCGGTGGTGCAGCAGCCATTTTGTCAGTCGCCAGTGGATTCCGCGCGCTGGAGAAGTGCAGTTCCCCCTGGTTACCGACTCTTCGGTTCTCCCTTCGCGCTGCGGGCGCCGTCGAAGAGCGCTCGCCAAAGGTGCAGCCGTTCCTTCCTACGGTCCCACCGCTGCTGTTGCATCCTCCCTAAGGTACTGCGCTCTTTTCCTTTCCTGCCACCTGACAGGCGCCCTCAGCCGCCGTCCGCGATGTCAAGCGAGGAAAGCTACCGGGCCATCCTACGCTACCTGACAAACGAGACCGAGCCATACGCCCCGGGTACCGAGGGCAATGTCAAGCGTAAAATCCGTAAGGCTGCCGCTTGCTACGTGGTGCGCGGTGGGACTTTGTACTACCAGCGGCGGCAGCGGCACCGCAAGACCTTCGCAGAGCTGGAGGTGGTGTTGCAGCCGGAGCGGCGCCGGGACCTCATCGAGGCGGCGCACCTGGGTCCAGGCGGCACTCACCACACCCGGCATCAGACCTGGCACGACTTGTCCAAGACGTACTGGTGGCGAGGTACGACCTGGCTGGCGGCGAGGGGGCGGGTCGGCGGTTTGTTGCCCGGGCAAGGCTCAGTGGTCGCGCCTGTTTGCGCAGCGGCGAATTCGAGGGTTCCAGACTCCCCTCGCCAGGCCAGCCCGCGCTAGACGGCGGAGCGGCTGCCAGGTGGAGTCGGGAGGCGGGTGGGGGACGTGAAGCGAGCCGCACACCCCACAGGAAGGAGGCCGGGGAAGCGAGGGGCGGGCCCTGGCCCTGGGTGGGGCCTAGGGGGGTTCCCCGGGGGCCGGGCCGGCGGTGAGGAGGGGCGCACGCCTGGGCCGTGCAGGCCCCGCCCCCTTAGGCGGGCCCAGAGGCTGCCTCTGGTGTCCCTGAGGAAGCTTCTAGCGGGCGGCTTGGTGGCGCAGCTTGTTTATCCTGACGGTAGGGGGAGGGACAGTTTTCCCAAGCCAGCCTCCCATCTCCCTAGTGTCCGCTGGGGTTTACACGCAGGGTTGAGGTTCTGCGCACCCCTTCGCCCGTATCTGTCTTCTTGGAGTGGAAGAGTACAATCACGTGTAGAAGGGATCAGGAGTGGTCGTAGGACAGTTGTCTTGCACCTCGTTTTTAGAGCAAGAATTAAATGTAAAGGATAACACTCTTAATTTTGAACGTATTAATATGCTTCCCCCTGAAAGCGCTTTGGAAGCTGTGAAGCGCTGTGGAAGAGACATGGTTTACTGTGACTTGTTTTTTGTCAGGAAATACAGCTCTTGGCTGGGGCGGTGACTCACGCCTGGCACTCTAGAAGGCGGAAAACAGAGGATCCCTTGAGCTCAGGAATTCAACAGCAGCCTGAGCAAGAGCCAGATCCCCTCTCTATTTAAAAAAAAAAAAATTAGCTGGGGCGTTGTGGCGGGTTGCCTATAGTCCCAGCTGCTCGGGAGGCTGAGGCAGGAGGATTGCTTGACTTTAAGGTTGCTGTGAGCAAGGCAGAAACCAGGGCACTCTACCCTGGGTGACAGAGTGACACTGTGTCTTTAAAAAGAAAAAAAAAAAGGGCAAGCTAACTTGAAATAGCACAAGGAACTAAAAAAAAAACCGCAAAAGATTAAAAAGTATTAACCCCCCCTAAATGTATGAAAATAAGGGCGGCGCCTGTGGCTCAGTGAGTAGGGCGCCAGTCCCATATACTGAGGGTGATGGGTTCAAACCCGGCCCCGGCCAAACTGCAACCAAAAAATTGCTCAGTGTTGTGGCGCTATCGGGAGGCTGAGGCAAGAGAATCGTCTAAGCCCAGGAGCTGGAGGTTGCTGTGAGCTGTAACGCCACAGCCTCTACCGAAGGTGATAAAATGAGACTCTGTCTTTACAAAAAAAAAAAAAAAAAAGCAAGCTAACTTGAAATAGCCCAAGGAACTAAATAAAAGAATTAAAAAGTATTAACCCCCCCCCAAAAGATGAAAATAAAAAGGATTAAAACAGCAAAAATGCGATAGATTAAATTAGGTTCCTGCAGGAGATGATGTTCTAAGAACTGATTTTTATTTGGTCCACAGAGATAATTTGATGCTGCTGTTAAGTTAATCCAGAAGATATAGTCTGTAGAAAATTTGACAATAACTGGGTTTATAAAAAATAACTTGTAATGTCTCTGACAAAACCAAAATACATGGAGCTCAAAAAAAAAACAAAAACCACAAACAAAAGCGCCACTGAGCAAAACATGATCACTGTATTCAGCAATGACCAAGGAGAAAGGTTATTAAACAAATGGCAGGAGCAAATTGTTCAATTGACAAAAACACTTGTAGAGTGTTGGGGATGTTTTTGCCTCCCAGGGGACATTGGCTATATAAGACGACAATTTTGATTCTCCTATTAAGAGAATCACTTAAGTCCAAGAGGTTGAGGTTGCTGTGAGCTGTGATGCAGAGGGTAGAGTGTGTCAAAAAAAAAAAAGAGAGAAACTAAAGAAGTCTTCTGTTTAGGTTTCATAGCTGTTTTGCCTTAAGAACTTAATTTAGCCTCTTAACAATTTCATAATCGTTACCTCTGAACTCTGAACATGTTTACTACAAATTTAGGAATTAGGATACAATGTTGCATGTGTTCTCTTACCTAAAGTTGCTTGGTTCCTCTGAAAATAGAGTTGAGTTTGATGTTGACTACTCATAATCCTCTGGAGCAATTGTTATGAATACTGAAAAATCTTTTTTATTATGTAAAATGGAGGTACATAAAACTGTAGGTAATAGTGAATTGACTGGATAATGTATAATTTATTTCTTTTCTGTTGTAAACTGAACTTAAGAGGGTAATAATGGGGTGGCACCTGTGGCTCAAGGGAGTAGGGTGCTGGCCTCATGGGCTGGAGGTGGTGGGTTCAAACCCAACCCTGGCAAAAACTGCAAAATAAATAAATAAAAATAAAGAAAGAAAGAGGGTAATAATGAAAGGAATGATAAAATACAAAACAGTCACTGAAAAAAATATTAGCCAAGCCTAGTTGCATATGCAACTCAAGAGGCTGAGGCAAGAGGATAAGTTTAGTCTTAGAGTTTGAGACCAACATGGGCAACAGAGAGAGACTCCATCCCTGCCAAAAAGTTTGAAAAATTAGCCAGGTGTGATGGTGTAGTCCCACTTATAAGCTATGATTGTGCCACTTAATTCTAGCCTGTGATAATAGTGAGACCCTGTCCAGCCCCTCCCTCCCCTCCAAATTGTAAGATTGTTTACTAAGCACCTTAGTCTCAGAACAAAGGGAAATAAATTTCCTTACTGGGTAGTCATCTAATGAAAGAGCTTGAGGAAATAGTTTTTTATTCTTTTTTTTTTCTTTTTTTTTCCTTTTTTTTTTTTTATTGAATGGTAAC